GTTTCAATAAACTGAGCAGAGGTTTTGTTTCAATAAACTGAGCAGAGGTTTTTGTTTCAACAAACTACACATGACTTTCTTATAATTTTGTGGTTAGCTCAATCCATTTTTAATTAAAATATATAGTATTAAGAATTCTGCCACGTTTTATACAAAATGTAATCTTATGTAATATTATGAAAAATTATTTCATAAATTGACACAACAGCTCTGGAGCATGCATAAATTTCGTTATCTTTGCCTTACATAATCTAACACAAACATCAACATTCCACTGTTCAAAGTTATCATTTTATTTAACTGTAACATAAGGAATCCTGGGTCAACTGTTTACCACTGTGTGTCCGTTGACACAGTATACAGATCACATACCTTAGTCGTTATACGATACAAAAAAATTTAACCTAACGTTTTAAAATTATCTTTCTGTTTTTAAGAACTGGTCATCTTTGTTTGTTTGTTTTCTCTTCATTAGCCCCACTTTCATGTCTGGCCGTTGGTCAGATTTACTTTAATAACATCACCTTAATAGCTAGTAAAACTTGACCACATGCACAAGGTCATGTACACATACAGGCTGTGCTGTTTTTCTGTGGACATCTAGCCAGAACTTGCCCTATATCAGATGACACCTAAGTTTATAGGTGTTTATGTAATATATATATATATATAGTAGTTTACAGTATGAACTTTAATACGTATTTTACTTATTTATAGTATTAGCTAGATTTAATATATAAAAGTAAATTCATCAAATAGTCATAACTTCACTGGTCAAATGTGATAAACATAGTACATGAAAATTCTGCTCATGTGCTCAGTAATTCGCTAAGCAGGCCCAACCTCGTCAGGTGTTTTTGCGGTAAAGACTGAAAGCAGCGCTAACAGCGAGGATACTGAATTGATGACCTAAGACAGAATGGTCAGAGAGGCTTTTTGTGGTTTGTTTCTTACTCATAATTAGGACTAATTATTATTATTAATTGTTGTTGTTGTTGTAGATTGTTAAACAGCTCTTCTGGTGGAGGTTTTTAAACAAATGTAGTTTCTTGTAATAATCGCTCAATTGGCATTGAAGTTTGGAAAAACTCATCTTTATTTGCATTAGCCACTCAAGAGACAAATCAAAGTTATCGAAATGGTGTTTTTAAGTGTTTTACACTCACAAAAAAGAAACCTATCATTTTATAGGTCTTTGAAGAACTTGTAGCATTTCGCCACAATTTAATTCTTCGTATTGTTAGTCGACACTGGGCAGTTGATACATAGTTGAATAGAGTTGTTTAAACATTTGTTTAACAACAAGTAAAAGCTTGGAATGGTCTATTCTTTCATTGGGGTGTGTCTATGTTTAAACAACTCCATTCAAATCTAAATCATATATCATCCGGAAATTGTTTTAATTTTTTTTTAGACTTTGGTTCATAATTTCCGGACACTCTGGATATGATACTTTATAATATAATTACATTAATTTGATACATAGTTGAATAGAGTTGTTTAAACATTTGTTTAACAACAAGTAAAAGCTTGGAATGGTCTATTCTTTCATTGGGGTGTGTCTATGTTTAAACAACTCCATTCAAATCTAAATCATATATCATCCGGAAATTGTTTTAATTTTTTTCAGACTTTGGTTCATAATTTCCGGACACTCTGGATATGATACTTTATAATATAATTACATTAACTTGTCATATTTTGTCAATGTTATGTTTTTCACTTATGTGGGTTTTCTCAAAGAAACTGTAAAATACACTTAACAGTAGTGTTCATTATACTGATTTAACATATTAGCGAATACAGATATAATTTATATATATCTTCCATCATTGTCATGCTCTAAATCAAAACACTGTGTTTCCGCTAGGTTGTTTTAGTTATTTTAAATGTCACCTAGATGGCATGGTATTAATTCTTTCTAATAATTAGAATTTACGTGTAATAAAACAGCCTATTAAAATGATAATAAGTTGAACACTTGAATAATAGTAATATTGAAGTAGACACTGAGGAAAATCATTAGACGTAAGAGTTTACAATGATTAAGAGCAGTAAAAGCTTGTCTGAGACACAGTTCAGTTCTTGATTTCAGTACAAAATGTTTCTAGATCTTTTTAGCCGAAGCATAGTGACTCATAGAACGGCTCTGAGTTTTTTTTTTTTTGTTGTTGTTGTTTTTTCAAGTACGAGCTCTTGAGGTCTAATTACAGTTTTGGACTTAGAAGATCAAACCCTTTCGATTGATGTATTTGACCACGCCCAAGGTCTCATATATTAATTTACTCTAATCCTGCCTAAAAGAATTTCAATTTGAGGGTAGGCTGGTAGAGATCCTGATGAATAATAAAATCGAATCGAGTACAAGCGCGCCCCACACTTGGCATTGCTGGCGCACAAAAATATAGCTAATAAAAAGGAGAAGAATAAAAAGGTATCATTGATTAATTTACTGTAATCCTGCCTCAAAGAATTTCAAGTGCCGCGGCTATTGAAGATTCCCTCTTGTTTTTATTTGTTGTTGAATTTCACACAAAACTAATAGAAGGTTATCTATGCCGGCCGTCCCTCTTTAATTTTGAAGTGATAGAATAGAGCGCAAAACACCACTCACCGTCAATTCTTGAGCTGCTCTTATCGAAAAGTGGGATTTGACCGTCACTCTTATAATGCACCTTGGCCCTAAAGTGCGGGCCCCACGGAACCTCGGATTCACAGTCCTGCAGACTCGGCATGGCCAGGTGGATAGGGCGCTCAACTCGCAATCTGAGGGTCGCGGGTTCGAATCCCCGTCACACCAAACATGCTCGCCCTTTCAGCCGTGGGGGCGTTATAATGTGACGGTCAATCCCATTATTCGTTGGTAAAAGAGTAGCCCAAGAGTTGGCGGTGGGTGGTGATGACTAGCTGCCTTCCCTCTAGTCTTACACTGCTAAATTAGGGACGGCTAGCGCAGATAGCCCTCGTGTAGCTTTGCGCGAAATTCAAAAAACAATCACAGTCCGGCACGCTAACCTGCTGGGCCCTTTATCTTTCAAAGAAGGGAACTGCGTGAGACATTGGAGATAAATTCCAAGTCGTGAATAAGTGTTATAGATATCATCATCCTTAGATTTTTGGTAAAATATCACGACATGGCAAGGCACCAGTGTATATTGATTCAAATTTATATTTAAAACAATTATGAATCTCCAGCTAGCAAGCGATTTAAAAGAAGATTGCGCAAACTCAGATTTTCCTACGAATGTCAGAGAGACTGTCAATTGGTACCAATGTTTCGGACTGTAATGTTAAAGGTTCTTAACAGGATATAAATAAGTAAATTGATTAGCAGCTTTCTTGATATACTTTAAAGGGATCACATGAGAAACGGTGATTGTTCACAGAAGGTATTTACCTCTTCATACCTTAAACTTTGGAGGAAAAAAAAAAGAACTGAAACATTGCCAAAACTAAACTAACCTGCGAGTCCAAGATTCAGTTCTAGCAACAAAAGATGCCAAGTTTATCAAAGAACAACAAACAGTGAAATTGATATTTCTAATTTGGAATATTTACATTTTGTTTTTTTTAGAAATAGT